TCGATATTCAGTCATTTAGCCGTACCTTCTCAAATGTTCCTCGAGGCATGCATTGCAAAATCTGTGACCGCATCTTGTAAGAGCCGGCTCCCTCAGCGGCAAATGACAAATTAAGCAAAGAAAATCGTCGTCGACTTCATTCACAAACTCCTCGTCATAACCTGAAGGTATCTGAGCGTTTCGTGGAGCTTCCGCCATGTTGCTTCAGCAGGCTATGAATGATAATCGCAGACCCGTGTTATGCGCACAGGATTCTGGGATGGCCAGGGGGTAAACAATGCGAGTCGCTACAAAGAAATGTATGGCGTTATGTAGTTTCTGCGTCTAGAGCAGTGTCTTTGGACGTAGAATAACGCATTTTCGCCGTGGTTTTGTGAGAAGCGGAGTGACTAATGTTGGTGCGTTGAAGTTTCAAGTTTCTGTGTGATTAATGCGATAACTTCTATTGATTAACAGTCCTTGTGAGGTTGAGTGTGAAATTTGGGATTACTGAATTTACACAGTGATCCATATGAAAAGGTCTCGAAATATAAAGTGCAAATTTAGGTATAAATGTAGGGGGATTAGCTCATTTAAGCTTTTTATTTTTAGTTACGTATGGTGATATTTACAACGAGTGTAACAACGCTCGGCCGGGATCAGCGCTGTGCGGTGCTGTGCGGGTTCAAATGTCAAGACAACAATCGAAGGTATGTACGGGGCCATAAAAATAAAAAAATCGTCCTTTACTTGAGTAGATGAGGTCGAAATCGTTCGAGACAGTGCCGCGAAACGAGTAAGATTTCCGATACAAAAGTAGTGAGTGTGTATCCTAAATAAGGAGTGAGTGACTGTAAATAAATACCATGTTGATGTACCACATTCAGAGATTCTATAAAGTGATTGGAAAAGGCATTAGAACTTATTGGTGCTCTGGATCACGACAACATTTTGCCTGTGTATTTTTGGCTAAGAGGAAATCAATATACTAACGTGGGGAAGATGTTTTTGTTTTTGAAGTGACACATCAATACATAAGCTTACCTTAGATCGTTGTCACAAACCGGCACAGCATTGTGATCGCGGCGGAGCAGAGCGTAGTTACACTCGTTGTAAATATCAGTACATGTAGCTACAACAAAGGCTTAACTGACTCATTCCCCGCTCTTTTATACCTGGTAAGTTAGTACTATATATTTGGCCTCAAATCGAATTTAACCGCTAGCTGCAAGAGAGACTATAGTAGGTAGGTAGGCTATCAGGCTTGTCAAGGATACAGGGAGCCAACGTCTATTTTCGCGCGCAAATAAGCACAGGAACACTAAGATAAGGCCGGTATTTTCGTATCTCCCAAATATCTTACGTACAGTAACAGCAATATTGCACTTTTATACGTTACGTTAACACTTTCTTTATGTTTATAAGCGAATCTTTGCTAACGTCATTGTTTACATTTTTCCTCATTAGCATACGCCTTAACTCATAGAAGCCGTGGCCGCATATATGAACTAAATAAAAAAACATGAAAGAGCTGATTAAGTTGAGCAATTTGTGCAATTTTCAGCTCTTTACAAGCAATATTGAAGGAAATATCAGCCGTCAAAAACTACGAAATTGCTGGGTGGCAAAAAAGTTAATGAGCCGTTCTCTGTAAAATTTCGAGTTTCTCCGAAACCATTCAGTGTATTGGGCTCAAATTTTCAGAGATAACTGAAACTGATATGCCCTTTCAATATTCAGAGTTTTTACTTTATTAGCGTCATCAGAGAGTGATAAGCATATGTGAATGAGACAAAAAGTGTAAACAAAGATTCGCCTATACAATGTGGTGAATATTACGGGCGTTGTGATTGGTCGTTGCCCATGATCTGTTAGAGTACAGGCACGTGGATGATGTCACGGGAAACGCGTTTCCTTTTTTTGTCGAAAATGGCGCGCGGTTTTGAAAATGTCTGCGAGATTATTTGGTCTTGACTCGGATTAGGCAAGTGAAGTCTGCGAAAACGTTTAGCAAGAGCTGTTTACAGAGAAGAAAAATAAAATTAAAACACCGAAACAAAAAGAGTTCTTGACGACTTAAAATTGATTGGTCGTTGCCTATATGGCAATCACATGGATGAAGTCACGGGAACTTGCTTTATTTGTTTTATACATGGCGGGCGATTTTGAAAATGTTTGCGAGATTATTACGGATTAAGCAAGTAAAGACCTCGAAAACAAAAATTATCAGTACTTGTTTACAAGTAAGAAGAACGGAGAGAACAAGGCAGAAAGAGTTCTTGACGGCTTGAAAATAACTGAAGTGGAAGAACTTCACAGCAGTTGCCATCGTGTGTCATCGCTATGAGAGACTCGCAATTTTGAAAATGGTTTCGTGATTATTGTGCTTTGAGCAAAACAAGTAAAGGCAATGAAAATCTTTTCTTTTCTGAGAAACCGTATGCAAGTAAGATAAAGGAGAAAAGAACAAGCAGAGACGGAAAGGTAACTCAGGCAAGTTGCGCGGTGCTTCCTCCATGGTGCAAAGATGCTCCAGAGCAGGCTATTGCGAAAGCGAAACCAGTTAAGGTCAAACCCATGTCGAAGTGACCTAGAATTTAATCGCCAGCGCAAGTCTCTTGACCAAGAGAGGCTAAAGAAATCGTTGTGGGGGTGGTGGGGTGGGTAGATCGAACGGTCGAATAGACATGGCAAACGCAAAGTGAAAAAACCCCGGGGCGCAAACAAGGACAGGAACACTAGGATAAGGCCGGTATTCTCGTATTTTTAAATATCTTAAACAGCAACATAAAAGTGCCACCATTTCAGCACTTTCTGTATGTGCAGATACCATCTCGACACAGAT